ATGCTTGAAGCACTGGGTCACCTTTCTCCACTACATCAAAACGAAAAGAAGATATGTAGTCAGAGGTCAATAGTTAATTTATTCGACTCAATCCCTAACGTGAAACAAACAGGTATGTGTGCAACACACTGGTTTGGTAAATCATTAGCGATATTCTAAAGATCATCAGTAAGCCTTATGCAGCCTATTATTTAAAATATTCCTTTTAACTTTAAGAACTTCTAGAAAGCATGAAAATATCCTTACAAAGAATCTATTTGACAGATGTGGACTCCCTTTTAACTTGCATGCTCCCTCATGAAACAGTTGATTTGTTGTGCGGTTACATTTCGTCGGGCATTTTTTTTGTTACCTCTTTTGAATACTTAAGAAAAATAATATTTTTGTGTGCAAAAAATATTTTTAGTTTGAAGGAGCCACTTACTGAAGAATTGACGAACCACCTACTAGCAGTCAATTAGGCCCGATTCAAAGAAAACTCACCAATAATATTTCCAACCCCCCCCCCTGTGTACAAATGCGATGTAAATGACATTTTTATTCATACGTAGCATGAGCATTTCAAATCCGGTCTTCAATTTTTAACTCTTTCCCAACTTTTGTCTCATGACGATGAAAGCAACCATTTCCAGCGATATAGTACATTAGAATTAATAGGCGCTTAGATGGTGCATTATAACGTTCTGTTTACCGAAAAGCAACATTAAGCTTTTAGCATACATAATTAGTCAGCTTGCCGCCCGTAGCTTATGAACATAGGTTTATGAAAACCTTTTATCGAAGAATTCACAAGGAAAACGTGGCTGCGAAATGGCTAATCAGAGAGCCTGAGTGAGATCCATAGTAAACAATCTTAAAAAGGCAATCCAAGCCTTAATATGTTCTAAGCAGACGTTTATCGCAAGATATATTCGAGAATGATGTCTACCAAAAGCTGAAGTCAACTCTAGAACACATAACTAATATTTCTCAACCTAGACTAATTGTAAAAGAGAAATTGATTGGGAGGAACGAAAGAAAAATTGGCAGTCCAGTTTTGTCTCCCATAACGTGTACCAGCTCACTGGCAATGGCAATAGTGGACAAAACGGCAGAACAAACTGCCGGCTACCACAGCGAGAGACCGAAGACAGCCAAAAGTTGACAAAGTCCATGAGACAACCCAAACTGGATAGCCAAATGGTCAAAACGAACCCGGGTTCGTCGCATCGCAACCAGAGAAATAGTAGATCCTGGCTCCTACTTCAGATCACCAGTAAGAAATCGCAATTCAAAGCTTTTGGAAATTACTGAAGCGATATTAATCTCAATACATAATTCCATTGTTTGAGCCCAACTGCCGTGGATTTAACTCATTGTTTCTAATTTCACCAGTTCTTGTCTATCAATACACATCCGTTCACTAAAATTCACCGATCTAATGTGCTATCCATATGTCTGTTTGTTTCATTCAGCAAAAAAGAGTATTAAACGTAATCCGTATCTGAACAGTGCGTCTCTCATTATTCCCGTCTAAACCATCAAAGGCGGGATTTTAGAGAAGCCACTGAATCACGATGACTGGTGGTACGTTCTTCAGGTTTTGACCACTTCGATTCTGATCAAATCGGCCACTTGGTTTCATCTTCCGGTCACCTATAAATCTGACGGGGCATTTCACTTCTTCTTTTATTCTTTACGGCAGCTGGCTCCTGAGAAAGGATGATCTGGTTTCATGGATATTCCATGAAATTTCTTGCGAGTTTGGTAGAGGAAATGTCCCCAGCGTCACCCGGCTTTAGGTCGAGGTAGCATCTCTAACCTTTGCTCATCCAAGTGCTAACTGCAAGGCAGCAGGAAACTAGCGCATGGTTGCCGATGGCTCTCTGGGGTAGGGAGCTCATACGCAATTGACAGCTTCTAGCTGATCATGTTTCCATGCATCCATGGTATGGAATCGTTGAGCTGTGTAAGCAACTTAGTCGCACAATGCGTAAGTACCGAATTCATTCATTAGACACTGATTCTCCGGGATTTGGGCTCCCCGTTACCCTCAAACTAGTTTGACCCGCCTGTCAACCGGTTTACCCGGGGTATGGTAGCTGTTGAATCCAGAAAGCCTCTTAGAGCTACAGGTGAGAGCAGAGTGCCCGGTGGAGGTCAAAGAGCGGAGGATGCTCCAAAGGGAACTACAGCCCTACAATTCAGAGGTGCCATTCCAAGAATTTCAGGAATTTCACAGTTGGGAAAGAACATGTAAAATCCTTCGATTTAATTTTATTACTGTGTACTCTTCGATAAAGCTACCGTAGAAAAACGGTGCTCCGTTTCAAAAGGAATAACGTCATCCCAGAAATGTGGTATAAGCACCTAGAAAAATTAGAGCATCCGACTGGGCAAACTGGTAATAGAAAATATCGAGTGGATTCCCGGAGTCGTAAAGTTGTCGTAAAGGGAACTCGCAAGTTTCCCACACAGTTTGACACCTTTTAATGAACTGCAACTGTCTTGTGAAAAATAATGCGAAAGAATCAAGATGTCAATATTAATCATGACCGGTGCGTAAACGTTTTCATCGAGAACCCTAACCCCATTCATGGCTAATCCCACTTTGTGCAGAGGAACCTAAAGCTATCAGTGGTGTTGACAGATAAGCTCCCAGTCAATAAGGTGACTGTGTATTGGATAAAAAATAAACACTGACTAATCCGGCCGGAAAGGACTGTTTCTTTCGGCATTTTGGGGTCATTGATGAGCTCCAGTTTTTAGAGCGCTGGAAATTCTGAATGGTCAATTTGATTACATAAAGCTCTGGGATAAATGTACCGCAAGAACCACACGGATGGCACAGGGTACAATCAAACAACAACCAGTCATGAAAAGAAGAGCATTCAAATGAGCAACAAGAGTTGTGCCATTATTCCGGATAACATTTTCAAATTCCTGCTTAGGCTAATAACCCATACAGCTTGTTAAAATCCTTTCAATAGACAGTTTATCACGTTTAGATTACTTTTTGATTACGACTGCGGATACCGCGGGCTCAAAAACAAACCTAATGTGTACTCCGTCAAACAACACAATACATCGAAACGGCACCCTTGAGCTGGAATGAAATTTCGCCAAGCGTAAGCTAGATGCTATGCTTTCCGATGGTGGAAATACAATTTGTCCATATGTGAGATATGTTTCCATTGGGGAATTTTCACCGTAGATACCGACACAGCGTTGGTGTTGGTGTGTTTTCCGAACTGGAAGTGTTGTTCCCGTATGTTTTACAGTCAGACTAGGCAATACCATTAGTGCAACTTCGGGGACAGATGATTTTGCCTAGCCTGGTCAAGAAACGTCTTACACCGATATCCTCTCCCTGAGCTACAATCATTCCATATTCTAACCGACGAAGCGTTTCGCGCTGGAGAAGTTTACCTGAGAAAAAGAGGGATTACCAAGACGCCAATAGTTCCGGTCAATGATAAATAAAATAAATAAACCAGCACTGATTAGGTGGCAACATAACGATCAAAGGAAGAGCACAGAGTAAGGCAATTAGTGGCCAATTTTTGTTGTGCACAGGTAAGAGTAAAGTAAATTCAACATGGAGAGCAATACCACCCTACTTATGTTAGCTGCCATCACATAGGTGCGTAAGAGATCAACTTCAAAATTTTAGTTCATTACTTCTGTCGTCCTGAAAAGTTTAGAAAGTTATGATTTGTAAGGTTTGCTTCCACAATTCTATGTGTTTGATGCAAATCAACCTACACTTCACAGATCCTGCTTGATTGTGTTCCCACTGTGTTCTATTACATACCACCTCTTGTCTCATTTGTTCGAGTGGCACAAAACAACCTGCGATTACTTACGCATTTTACAGATGTCCCATATAGTGACGCTAGATAGAAACCACGTTGTGTAATTACTGTGATTGAGAACGCAAATTTGGCAAACAAGCTCGTTTTTAGTGTGATTGATAAATGTTTCTAATCAGGGAATTTTTGTCCAATAAAGTTACTGTTTTTTTCTGCTTCCCATAAGGCGCAGTGACTCATAGGGCATTAGGTGTGCTATGATATCCTGCTTGAAGTGTGTGAATAGTAAAGCCTTATTCGCTTAGAAAAACATTTCGAAATGTTCANNTCAGATTCATGATAAAACTGTAATTAAAACGGTTTTTGCTAGTGAATACTCCAGCTCTATCTTTTACTCTTGAGACGTATGAAGAACCTTTGGGATCAAGCCACGGCTCGAATTAAGATGACCAATTCTTGATGCGATCCATGGTCATGAGGTATATCAGTGTTTATCTTAGTCTACACATTAAGCTGT